TTTAAAAGTATAAAAAGGAAATTACATACAGCAGGTACCATTGTTTAGTTTTTGAGAAATAATTAAATGTTGCCACTAAGTTAATACTGAAATTATCAAACATCTTACAGTGACTGAATTTTTAACAACAACAACAACAAAAAAAAAAAAAAAAAAAAAAAACATAACACTAACAAATACTTTTGAAAGCATAGGCAGTTTATGGCCAAAGATTATCTTCCTATGCCAGTCGAAAGATGGGCAGCTACACCTGAACATAAAAGGGCATCATTCAAAGGTAGTCTCAGACTAATCTGCAGAATGAATGTCACCAGTAAAAAAGACATGTACTAAAATTATGGAATATATGATGAAAAATAGAGGAGTAACAATTTCTCAGACTGCTAAGAGGCATTCAAGGAAATCAATATTAAGGTTAAAGATAAACAAACAAACAAACAAACAAAAAATCTTGCACAAAAATCTGGCACCAGATGCACCACATATCAAGCATCAGCACCAGATGGGTGTCGAGAGTGTTGATATAAGAACTGAAGAAACATCAAATTAAATGTTCTTCATGATAATGCCAAAATAAATTCTTATTCATGACAGGAGATGAATTTTTGCTTTTTTCACAGATTTCACAGATAATGAAACACAGCTTCCTTGTTGTGACATAAAAGCAAAACAAGAGAGCAAGACGATGCATCTTTTCAACCCTGAAAGTTCAAAGCCCAGAAATCTACTGGGAAGGTATTGGGCACAATTTTTTATAAAGAGGAATAACTGCTCACCGATTATATCCCATAATTTGACAATATCAGGTCTTTACCATATATTAATCTGCTTAATCAACTTTTACAACTCATAAAGATAAAATATTATGGCTAATTCAATAGAAAAGTGTGACTTATACAATAACACTCCAGCATTCAAGGCTAAAATTTCCTAAAACGTTATTCAGCAATTTGAATTTCATCTTCTTCACCATCTACTGTGTTCAGCAGACTAAGTCTCAAGTGGCTTCCTTTTGTCTCAAAATCTGAAGCAGTACTTGAGTGGTTCATATTACAATGAGTACGATCATTTGAAGGAACTATTCAGAAATGGTTTGAAGCTTGTGAGAAAACTTTTTTTTTCCACTATTGCAATTTAATGCTTACTACATTACACTAAGTGAAGTCAAGGAAAATTCTTTAGGAATAGAAAAAGTAATTTTAGATATTTATCTAGGGTTAACAATTACTAAAATCTTCCCTTAGCAATCTGCAAAATACATGTATCAAATCTAAATTAGGCCCCTTTATTATAAATTTAAGGCTTCTTCTTTAAAAATTTCTCAAGCTAACCTTACATCGAAGGTATATTAAGATTCCAAAGTCAAGACAGCAGAAAAGAAGTCCAAGAAGGCTTATGCACAAATTGCTAATGCAGAAAAAAACAGAAAACTCTACCCCAGTAGTAAAAAACTTAATTTGCATGTGGGCCACACACATATTCTAAAAACAGCTGACGGATCAGAATTTTATTTTGACAAAATAAAAATTTTCCATTAACAAAGTAAAAAATTATTTTTAAACAATTTTGTTTCTGTTGTTGTGACTTATCTCACTTGTCTGACAGTAACATCAGAACAAGCCGATGAAATCAATTTTAAATTTTGCTTACTAAATATTTACCAAAGCATACAATATTGCAAAAGAAAAAATTCAAGAAAATTTTTTTCAAAAGAAAATTTTTTAAAAATTTTGTCTGTCTGATATTTAAATTTTTGCACCAGTAAAACATTTTTGTTGGCTATACTTTGTAATTCAAATATATTGACAAATAAACATTCAATTTTCAGACTAACATTTTTTTCAAATAATTCTAACGTATTTAATTAATTATTAAATAACTTACTTCAGTTTTCAATTTAAATTAAAAATACGCAAATCATGAAAACCTTCTAAGTTTACAAAGGAAGCTTTCCAAGTGAGATAAAACTTGAGAATAAGTAACGACTACTATAGTTTCTCTTATTTTTCCTTCATTGCATGAATAAAAATAGTTTAATTTCTTAGCCATAAAGAGAAATCATAAGAAATTATCTTCATCGCGAATTGTAGAGTTTCATAGATTCATTGGATTCTTTTCTTATTAATTTTCAATTGTGAAAAATGCTGTTCACATGTAACTGCATTTTGTAAACAAAGCAATTATTCTTAGTGCAAAAATTCATAACTAAGTGTATTTTTTTAAAAGTATGAATAAAAGTTAATAAAAAATGTGTATCTCCAAACCTCTGAATAAGAGTTATGTCAGACTGTAAATTAATTAGTTCTATATACACTCTTAGACAACAACAACAACTAAAAAAAAAAAAAAAAAAAAAAAGATGCACCAAGAAGATATAAAGCAAATTGGACACAAATTGATATGCAAACAGGTTTCGACAGAAAATGCAAAATTTTACATTTTGGCTGCCAATGAATGAATGGTTATCGCTACAGCGCATCTGATCTACACAATTGGCAGGATATTTAAGAGGAGAAATTACGATTACAGGTCATAAATTCTTCACGAATTTCATTCTGTGTTGTCTGGTAGACAGTAACTATGCCTCGCATACAGGTGCACGAACGATACACGCAGATGTCAGAATTTAAGAAAGGTAGTGTAGTTGGGCTCAAACAAGCCAGTTGGTCTTATCAGCGAATAGTTCGACATTTGAGCAGGAGCGATGCCCCTATTAGACGATGTTGGCAGGAATGGGTGAACCACGGCTGCACACAGCAGCAAGAAGGAAGCGGTAGGCCTAGAGAAACGACAGAACGTGAAGACCGAGCAATCATCAGAACGGCACTCACAGTCCCAGATGCATCATTATCATTGATTGTATGTGCAACTAGTGCTTCAGTGACTGTAAAGGACCATTCATAGACGGCTCCCAGAAAGGGGACTGAGGTCACGACCCCCCTTGCACAAACTACCATTGACCTCTGTACAACGTCAAGCCTGTTTGCAGTGGTGTTGGGCTCATTTGCACTGGAATGTCACTGACTGGAGTACAATAGTCTTCAGTGATGAGTCCCGCTTTGAACTGAGCCCCAATGATCAGCGAAGGCGATTCTGGAAACGCCCCAGACAGCGGTGTGATACCAACCTGACTGACTTCCGGCAGACAGGCTGACAACCAGGAGTGATGGTCTGGGGTGCGATTTCATTTCATAGTAGGACCCCTTTGGTTGTCATCCGTTGCAACCTTACAGCACAGCGGTATGTCAAAGAATTTCTAAGGTCCGTTGTGTTGCCCTTCATGTCACGCCACCCTGGGCTTACATTTCAGCAAGATAATGCCCACCCCCACACTGCACATGTTTCTACTGCTTGCCGAACATTACCTTGGCCAGCAAGGTCAGCGGATCTCTCTCCTATTGAGCATTATGAGCAGGGCCCTCCAACCAGCTCAGGATGCTGACGATCTAATGTGCCAGTTGGTCAGAATTTGGCATGATATCTCTGAGGAGGACATCCCCAACCTCTACCTATCGATGCCAACCTGAATAACTGCTTGTATTTGGATGGTGGACAAACGCGTTACTGACTTTTTCACTTTGTGAAGTTCTATCACGTCAATAAATCATCCAATTTTTCTCAAACTATAATTTTCTATACATGTACTTCACTTCTACCGATTTTAGTCCCATTCTAACTCCTTCTTGGTGCATCTTTTTTTTTTTTTTTTTTTTTTTTTTTTTTTTTTTTTTTTTGTCTAAGAGTGTATATATATTTTTTTGTGTATTCATGCATTCGAAAGATACATAAAATTGCTTCAGGCCAACAATTCGAGACTACTGTTCTAGACTTTCAAAAATAAAATGCAGATACTTATTTTTATGGACCAATAGCTCCTTTTAAATTCAATTTGCTATTTCCTTCAACAGGCAAACTGGAAACTTTCCAGATAAAAATCTTGATTTTTGCCAAATATTTGAAAAATCATATTCTTACTTTCCAAATTGCAAACATTCATCTTTGATTCGTTTCTCTTTTCCTTTTTTCTAGACAGGTAACACTGCTGCTAAAAAAATTACCAAACCTGGGAAAAAATTGCTTTTTTTCTTCAGGTTTGTCAATTTTTTAGAACTGAAATTTTTTATAATTTATGTATATTTATATCTTTTCCATTTTATTGTAGCAAACAGAGTACATCTTTTTTAGCTTTTCTTATTTTTCAAATTCTCTTCTCCTCAAAAACATAACAAAACACACTTTCAGTGCAACAGACTTCTGGAGTATGTGATTCATTCACTTCAACGAAGATATTACAGCAAATACTATTGAAATGCACCCATTCTAATATTTAATCTATTACATCAAGTTTTACTGAAAGAATTATTTCTAAATTATTTTCTTTAGGCTGCCTTTTCTAAACAGCACATAAATTACAAATAAAATATTTATTTTTTTGGATTCCATATAGCCTATACATACACACAAGGTGTCTCAGTACCATGATTACAAACTTGTAGGAGAAGTAAGGTGCATGTAGATGGCTCATCGCACAGTAATGCTCAGCCAGAAAGGGTTTCTTAGTGTAGCAGATGATGCTGGTTTGCTCTTGCAAGGAAGCGCTGGATTACGATTTTGAAACGTCTTGGTTGCACCTTAAACCTTCTACAAGTTCATACTCAATTCACACTACAGTTCATACTACACTACATTACAAGTTCATGCCCTACAAGTTCATACTATAGTTCTTAAGAAGCAAAAAAGGAATTCAAAACTTAATCCAATTATGCGGAAAAAAAAGGAATTCAAAACCTAATCCAATTATGAGCTGAAAGCTAAAATAACTGGTAGTAATATTGAAAAATAAAACATTTAAATCCATTACATTCAATCCAGATGAAGCCATTAAAAAAATAATGGATTTAAATGTTTTACTTTTATTTTTCTACATATTAAAAAAATACGTTTTAGGTTAAAACAAAAAACAAGTGAACACTAAAAAGGAAAAAAAATTGCAAACTAACCTTGAGTAGATCTCCAAAAAAGTTTAGTTCTTCTATACCAAACTTTTTCCACCGGAATGATGGTTGTTTTAGTATAATTCTCAAATTAACTATACCAGACCATGGGATGGCACTCTTAAAATAAAATAAATAAATAAATATCAGCTCAAATACACAAATAATGCAAATATATACTGCTTTTTATTGTCAAAATTATCTTTAGGGCTTACACATAAAACTTACTTTTATAAATTTATGGATTAAATCAATTTATACAATTTTAGAAAATCTAAAAATACAAATAAATATATTAATAAACTCTATCACTACAGGAAAATGACAATATTCCAGCATCCAATGGTTTGTCATACACAAGAATACTGCACTGTTTTGATTAACATTCTTGTCATAAGATTATGCTATGGTTTCAATTCTGCAGTATTTAGAAAGGCTCTGCAGTTGTATCACATCTTTTTGCCATTTTTAAATAGCCTTTTGTTCAAAACTTCATGTTTACATATTGTTTACTTTCATTATATTTATTAATTTAATATGTTTTTAAAACTTGACAGAAATGTTGATAAAACAATAAGTTAATAAATAAATAAAACAAAAAATGTGAATTTAACAATCCATCAGAATTCAACCCACAGATTAAGATTTTATTCAAAATTTTAAACGTAAATATAGTTATTTCTTTGTGTAAAATTGATTAAACTCTGATTTCAGCACAAAAACTTCCACTTAATACAAATGAAGCAATTTTCACAGCTGCTGTTACTTGGAAACAAGTAAATAGCCCAATAAGCCAAATATTTGCAAGACAAATAATTCATGGCCAGCCATTTAAAGTCAAGAAATATTTTTATATAATTAATGGTCACATCACATCACTTGAAAACTTTTAAGAATACTTATATTAAGTGTATTTAAATATAGCTAACTATAAATAAGCTACAATGCAACAGATTTTCAACAGAGGAAAGACTTCAAAATAAATAAATGTAAAAAAAAGGGGGAGACTAGTATACCTATTTTATCTTTCATTTAAAATTAATAATTATGCATTAGTTAATACATGTGGTTAATATTGGTTAAAGTAGATTGCAAAGTGCCCTTTGTATTATTGTGAAGTTGTTATTTCATTTATCGCCAAGTTCTTGTTTCATTTATGATAACCTGAGTAGTTGAATTGCTATGAAAAGCCTATTATGACGTAATCAGCTGTGTGATTACGGTAAATTTTGAATTATGGGAAAATATTTGTAAGGGCTTGTGGTGTGTGTTGGTTAGGAAGAACATTGCTTGTTTTGTGGTTTAGACAGTAGAATGGCTGAATGTGGTAAAATAAATTTGAAGTTTCTGTACGATTTGGAAAGAAAGAGGAAAAGAGCATTAATTGACTGGTGTGTAAATGAAGGTTTACTTAGGAGTCATTATTAAATGTCTTGTTTTTAGGAAGGAAATGCGTATGGATGAATGTTGGACAATATCAGCATCTATGTTCTGCCAAAAATTGCCAATTTTCACCAAGGGGCACCGCTAAATATGTTTTTACCTTAATATTTAACAAACTAAAAGCAAATTTCTCACTAACCTTACATTTCTAGGTGTTCCTGAAATTTGAAAAGATTGTACATATTTTGTTTGTTCCATAGCAAATTCATATGTTTTGAATCTAAATTGTTTTCTCTTCCTAGTGTGCTTTAAAATCACAATTTTCCATATCTAAGATTTGTGCTGAATCAAATGAATTATTGCAGTAGTCATCTTTATTCTGTATACTCTTCATAGTCATATCACCTAGGTTTACAAATTCATTCTGGATAACTAAAAGCTTTTTTAAATTAAATAAAAAATATGAAGATAATTTTTACATCATGAATTTCAGCACAAAAGCAGAATACATAAAAAATATGCTTTTATTCTGTTTATGGTACAAATTTATTTCAGAATCAACTAACTTGGCAAATTAACCACTAAATTCATATTGCTACTCTAGCATGGGGACCAACATTAAACAGCTGCAGTTAATTCATTTACAGATTCTTCTCATTTTTATAATGTATTGAGCACAACAAATAGTTCTGCTATTATGTGTTCTGTCTGTATATATGTTACGGTGAAACAACGAAATCTGGAGAATGTCGACTTTCACAGGTGAATGTCAACATTCACATAGTCTCTTGGTGTATGTCTGAAATATTTTCCAAATACTCTTATTTCTTACTTACACCGGTCAATGTCGACATTCACCATGTACTAATGGTGAATGTTGAACATATAACAATATTATATTTTCTTCTCTGTAATTCAGTTGCGAATAAACGCACTTGAGACTTGAAATAAGAACTTAAGAACATGAGAACCTAAAACACACAATACATTCAAAATGAGAAAGGAAAATAATAGAAGTTAAAAACTTACTTAATTATACAGTACGTTCTAAATGAGAAAATAAAATAACAGTAATAAAAAACTTACTAAATTATGTCATTCAAATCTTATTTATTGCAACAACTTAAACTATTATGGCACTTTATGACCTCTCTTTTTGACTTTCACCAGAGCATATCTGTGATTGTCGACATACACCAGCGAGGGGTCCGAATATACAAGAATGTAGTGAAATATTCGGTCTTTCACCGATGTATTTGGTGAATGTTGATATTCTCCGGTGAAAGTCGACATTCTCCAATTTCGGTCTTTCACGGTAACATATATACAACTGCCAACCCTGAAATATGGAGAATTAGGAGTTCTCATCTGAAAATATTTCTAAGAGATTTTCAATGTTGTGCAGTGATGCAATTTCAAAAGAATTTATAACTGACTTATATTCGTACATGATGCAGGTTATTGAACTACTCAAAACATCATTCAGATGTAAAATATATTGACGTTTAATTTGACATTCTAAATTTTACGTTTTCTAGCTACTTTCATTTAGTTTTCTTACACGTTTTTACTAAAACAATCCTGGTTAAGAAAGAAAAGCTTTTATTTACCAAAATACTTTTGAATACGATGAAAATAAAATAATAAATATATATATAACATTATGTTGGTAAACTTACCAATGCTAGACTAAGACATTTCAGATCAAATAAAATTTAATAAGAAAAATTAAGCATAAAATTTCTACAGAAGGAAAGAACAGAATTTGGATGATTTAGTTTCATTAATTCAATAAATTTAATTTATTACTGTGAATATTTTCCTTAGGCTAAAAATTAAAAATTGTGAAAATTCACTGATTCACTGAAGACATGGTGAAAAATGGTAGCTATTTAAATATATTATAATACATATATTTAAATGCACCCAAAACATGTGATTTCTATGTTCTTTAGCATTTTATAGAAAAAGTAAATATTTTGTGACAAATGTTTAAAAAATAATAATTAGATATTATAAACAAATGCTAAAAAATTATTTTTTGAATCTTAAAAATATTTATCCATATAAGGCTTGAAATATATTCTGAGTAAAGAATGCCCTACCTTCGTGGAGGGAATTGAAAAAACATTCTGAGAATTTTTTTCACATTCAGGTTCTTCCATTAAAATAAAATGTTTCACTGATGTCTGCCATGGAAGGATATCCCTATCTATAATAAACTGAAGTTACTTCAAAGCTGATAAATGACATTCAAAACTATTTATAAATTGAGGTCATTTGCATATTTACAAGCTAAATATTTGGAAATAAACATCGTCCATTAAAAGCTTTGGGAACTATAAGCACACATATGATAAGAACTTTAAATGATGGCAAATAAAAGGATAACAAAAATAAATAAAATGTAACAAACCATACCACTTGTTGGCAACACTTAAAGAATATTAATAATTGGTACAGCAATCTTGAAACCTAATCAAATGCTCATATTCCAAAGCAGTTTGAATTTGAATATCAGAACGTGTCGCACGAGAGCTCTTTTGCAACAACGGTATGATATTTGACTGCCATATAACACACCCAGGATCGAATTCCAAGGTCATTATTATCTTCAATGGCAGGTTAAACTTGTGCACAGCTGCACTTCTTATTGGTGCTAACAGATGGTGACATGAGCAAACAAATACATACCAAGCAGCATCAAGCTAGCATACCGTGTGATCACTACAATAGCAATCTGCAGATTCCACACTTTCTCCTACCAAGAACAAATGATGAACTACCTTGCACATACCGAGGTTCTCTCAATCACGCTCATTCATACAACAATGGGTTTAACTAACCATGCCCACACATTGCAGTCACAAGCCATCAACACAAACATCAATCTCATGAAGGCACTGACTCATAACCCCACCCACGAAGCAGGCTCAGTTCACAGTGACCAATTGTATCTCCTCATGTTGCATCAGAAATCCTTAGGAGTGTATAGTGACATCAAGAGCTAATCAAATGCTTACATTCCAAAGCAGTTCGAACATCAGAATCTGTCATACAGGAGTTCTTTTGCAACAGCAGTATAATATTCGATTGTGTATAACAGATCCAGAATCAAATCCCAAGGTCATTGCGCAGGCAAAGCAATGCGGTAATGCGTTACTATGAACTGACAGTTCGTTGCTCAGCTGTAACGTAAAGTTTCTTTAAAAATGCCAAGAAACACGACAATGTCAAGACAATGAAGCATTTTGGCACCTTCCACTATGAAATTCTGGAAGAAGGTCAATACTTGCGTCCACTTGCGGCTTTTGTGATGGATGACAACTTTCCCACTTAACTCTACTGCACTGTACTGCTTAAAGACCCTGACAGCCAATCAGAACTCGACTGCCTCCAAGTCAAGACTAACTTCCCTCTATTCTCATCTGGTGAACTGTAAAATATTCTATAGTGCTCACTTTCAATTTTATCATATTGCATACATTTTTTAAAGCATTTTGACATATTACATGCCTACTTTTGAATGAATTTTAATGTGTAATTACCAGATACTGTTTTTGTGCCTACTGTCTCAAGATGCTGGCTGCTGCTGCAGTGACAAGGGTCACCTCTCTTTATCTCCAGTCATATCCCTGCCTTTGACCTACACTAGTCATGAGCCTTTACTGTCATGTGTCCTCTCGAACACCAACCTCACCAAACAAGTTGTGTAAATATACAAGTTGTGTAAATATGCACAATAATCTCAGCATATAGTGTGGAACCTGAAACCCAAGCTCATTATCATCTTCAAGGGCATGTGAAACTTGGGTGCTGCAGCACTTTTCATTGGTGCTAACAGATGGTGACACAAGCAAGAACCTATATACCAAGCAGCACAAGAAAGCATACCAAAATGTGATCGCAACAATTGGCAATAATGAAAGCTAAAATTAAAATCCTTTGACGTAAAGTTATATCAGTGTTTTTAGTTCTGTTGGGGCTCTTGTACACAGCACACTTCATCACCTGAAATCCCTACACTTTTCCCATTTGTTTCTGCTTTCCTCATTTCATCTTCTATGTTGGATTTATATGCAGTTATAATCGGAGTTGATGCCAGGTATTTTGCTGCCTGGTGCAATTTCTGTAGGTCTTATATTCTGCTGTATGACATTTCACATAATTTTAGAGATTTTGCCTTCTCTAAATACTGCTGTGCAGTGCCTCCCTTAAATTCTAAAAATTTTGCTGCCTTTTAATTCTGCCACCCAGATGACAGACAGATAAACTATGAGTGAAAAGGGTACTATTTACAATGACACACACCTATTTTCAAAAACTAGTGTTTTCAGTTTTATTTACAAATACCAGTTACTTATGACTTACTTTTTTCTGGTCATTAACTACTAAAGAGTTTTCACCAGTAGATCGCATTAAAGTGCACTAGGCAAAGATATTTCCAAATAAATGATACTAGGGAAGTACACCCGCGGGAGAAGAAAATTCAGCTGCATGAGCAGGCATATCTTAATACTTATGAAAGTAGGCATTCATCATAAAAATTGTGCAGTGATAAGCAATTTTACTGATCAACCTTCTTAAAACCTGCTTCTTTTTGAAAAAAAAAATCATTTAAAATATTTTTAATAAAACAATAGTTTATTTAAAAAGTTTCGATAATGAACTCGCATAAGTGTTCGAACACTTTGAACAAACAATCATAAAAAATATAAATAATGGGACATGCAATATTTCATTGGATACACTTAACCTTTTCAGGATGGGCATCCCAAACACGTCACTGGAGAACTAATGCAAAGAACAGGTGATGTGTATAATAATTTTAAGCTGAAACATGTTTTAAAGATGACTAGATGGCATCCCGTGCCCATTACTTTTGAAATTAATACAGTTTTAGGATCCTGACCTCCAGTTTGATCACATTCTGCGTAATGTTAGTGTCGGCTGTTGCCGGGGAAGAGGCAGAGTTTAATATAAACAAACAGAGCTCGTCTCTTTAGTTTGCCATGTGATATAAATATTTGCGTTTCTGATATCCCTTCAATCCTTTTTTTGCTATCATGTAGGGTCTTTTAGGGTTACTATCTGGAAGTTCTATTACACTTTGCATTGCTTTTATCACTTATATTTTGCTCACTTCCCTTTTTATTTCGGAAAGCCTTGACTGCAGTTTATTATAGAGAAAAAGCGTTATTTATCAGAGTAAGGATATACCAATGAATCATCACTCTCATTAGAGAGTTAGAGAGTAATATTTCTAGTGATTCTCATACAGACATTTCATCAGAGACTGAGATCATCGAGTATCAGCCTTTCACTTCCTGCAAAAGATTTTGTTATTTCTTCTTGTAAATAGTCTTTCATGTATTATTTTATTCATTTTAAAATTCGGAATAATTTGAATAGTGCTTTCGAAAATTATTTCTCAAAGTAAGCAAATTGTTTTACAAATTTTCATATAAAGTAGAGGAAAAAGATTATTAAATGCTCATTTAAACATATATGATAGCTTAAGTAATAACCTAAAACACTATTAAAAATTATGATGTTAGGACTTCTTTTTTTCTCCTCCTAAAGTTAGGTTTAGTGACGCAAAACTTCCATCTTGTGGGACAATTCCTTTCAACATCCATCTGTCCCGATGGAACATCTTAAACAAAGGTGCAATGTCTCGAAAGGGTTAATTAAAATTACACTTTTCATCTGCTTTGACATGGATTCAATTCATATTTTCGTAATAGAATGTCCCATTCCTCTGTAAGAATTACTTCTAGTAGAGCTTTTGAAGAAATTTGTACCAGAAATGTATCCCTATTCTTTTCCCCAACTTATTCCATAGATGTTCAATAGGATTTAAGTCTGGGAATATGCAGAAGTTTTGATAACTTTGGGACAGTTGCATAATAACGACAAACATTTAAGGCTCTATGTTTAAAACTGTTACCTTGATAGAGCTTGAATGTATTTTGCATTCCAAGTTTTCCTGAAAAATTTGGAGCAGCTTTCAGGCTTTTTTAAGAATATTTGTGTATTTACATTGATCCCAATCTTTTCTGAAAAAAACTAAATTTTCCATCCCCAAATCATTATGCTTCTACTCTTATGCTTGACAGTAGGCCATAGAATTTTCAGAATCAAATTTTCATTCAGCTTTTGTTATGCAGCAATTCACCCCCTGGACTCAAATATATTCAATTTCAACTTGTCTATACATGTAACATAGTATGATAAACAGTGTTCGCTTACCTTTTTACAAACATTAGGCATATTCTGCTTGTTTTTTGTTGACAAAGAATTTCCTTCTTACTGATCACCCCTTGTATCCTTATGCCGTAATAAGTCTTGTAAAAATTTTGACCCTAATATTTATTGCAAACATTCATCTAAATCCCATATAAGATTTACAACATTCATTTTTCCATTTTGTCCAACTTTTCATAGAATAAATTTGATTCCCCTGCATTAGTTCAGAATGTGAATCTTCATTCATTTATTCAGACTTCAGGATATTTTGAACAGTCCCACACAATTTTCTTCTTTAATACATCAAAGTAAAATTAGATGCTTTATGTCAAAGGTTTCTGGAGTATTTTGAATACTTTTACCATCTTCAGAATGCTGAATTAATAAATTTTTAACATAATTTGGCATTAACTTTAGGGTCTTGCTATGTTCATTTCAGATATGGAAATGTTACAAGCAATAATTTGCAAATGCAGATGATAATTTTTGTGACATATTTTACATATTTTCATCTAAAAAAAAATTAAGAAAAGAAACATCCCTTTTTTAAATAAGTTATTTTATTGCAAGGAATATTTTGATTATATTTTTTTTTATTTATTTATTTTGTAACAAGCGAGTCTTAAAATAAGAGAGAAAACAGTATACAGTCAAAAGTCGTTAATTCGGACACCCATAATCCGGACCTCAAAGCTAAAAACTTTCTGCGCATGCGCCGCGTTCACACATGCGCATAGGCTTTTACGCGTGCGAGTAAGACCTTTACGACTGCGCATATGCGTGTGCGCAAGCGCAGAATATGTTTTCGCGTGCGCGTTTAATGTATAACGGATGGTATAAGCTAAAATTATCTAATTATCTATTTCAGTTAATGTTGATGATTGCGTTGTTCCTTAATCTTCGAATTGGATCCGGCTTATTATATTTTGAAGACTGTAAGAGCAATTTTATAACAGTAAGCTTGAACTTTCGATTATGTCAAAAAAAGAATTTCCGACATTCTGGAAGCTCCCAAAGGATGTACAAAACGAAAGTATGTTTCGATATCCATCAAACAAAAAGTGGAATTGCTACAAAAAAATGGATAAAGGCATATCCTTTGTTTATCTAACCATTCTGAAATCTGTTTATCAATTTCACGCTGCTCTGCGCGGGGGGAGGGGGAACGTCGCGGTGCGCAATGAACTGGAAGTTGATCTGTCAGCACTATCGTTATCTTCAGGGCAGATGTTTTTATTTTATTCGGCTTATAATTCCTTACTAAATGTAGTATTTCATCTCGATGTACTCCGTCTTTGATATGATTTAAATCAAATTCCTCGTCATTATAAATATCACGAATACAAATCAAATAGTTTTCTGGTTGCAATTTTCTAATTTCGGCTATGCGTAATGTATGCTTTACACATGCGCGCGTTGAAAGAAATTTTAATAAAGTAAACAAATAAATATTAAGCTTTTTTCTTTTTTTTTTTGTGTAAATTTTGATACCCTTATTTTATACCTTATCCTTATGATTAGATCATAATTGCTCATTATTTTATAAATTACGGTTTCATATTTTTAATTTTATAATTTCTGCATGCCATCTTACCAGATTTAAAGTGATGATCTATAATCCGGAAAAATCGATAATCCGGAATCGCCGAAGTCCCGACGAGTCCGGATTAAAGACTTTTGACTGTATTAAAAAAATTGGAATCTGTGTTTCAGCATTTAGTATAAGATCTACGCAAATAAGTTTCAGAAATACAAGAGTGCACAAACAAATGTGCCAATGTGAGTATGAGTTTATTAAGTGCCAAACTGTGGCAAGCTGGTTGTGTTAATGCATAAGTACCTTTTTTTCTAATATAAGAAACATACCTTTTAGGTTAATTTTTTTTCAATACACAAAAATTAAATGACACACTTAAAAAGAAAAATTCTTGACATTAGCTTGAAAACAAGAACTGTAACAAGAGATAAGAAAGATAAGAATAACACAGTTTAGTTTAATTGGTATATATATATATATATTTCTGTAGAAAGTTGCTTGCCACATGTTACCCTATAGCAATACAGATCCAATATTTAGTTGGAGGAGGACCTTTCAAAACATCATTTTCACAAAATTTCTAGTAATGCTTTACGGTGTGTATTAAAACATACTTTTAACATCCTTCTCAGCAGGCACCCTTTTGCAGGACAGACCAATATATGCAGTATAATTATTACGAAAACATATCTCTCCAATCTGCAATAAAGAAAGAATTTTAAATCAATTTCCTTTAACAAATAATTTACAAAATATATTATTACTTGCCATTTTGTAACATGATAAAAAGATAATAATATAAATACTAAATAAATCTACAATAAATGTGAAATCAGAAGGGAATTAATATAAGATGAAAAATTAAACAGGTAGTTTTACAGCCGACTCAGTTTCAATTAATTGACTGTTGTTATATGCATCATAAATGACCATATACTGAATTTGACTTCAGTATGGAATGTATGACACTGATTTGATTTCAAAACAAATAGAAATATTATAAAGAAAATTTACACACTTCCCTCTTCCCCACACACACAAAGTGTAGACATCTGAATCCTATAGCTTTCAAAATTGTTTAAATCGCAGCAAGCACCATGTTAATGAGAATTCTAAAACCTAAAAACTAAGACTTCTCAGACTTCCTTATTATTTATTATAGATCAAAATTTGTCTCTTGATTATTTTGGTGTTTTCTAAGTTGTTTGCTATCTGCCGTGTACTTTTTTGGTCATTTTCTGATGCAATTATGCAACACATTTTTTTTGGGGGGGGGAGTTCTTCACATTTTCAGCTTGATACTAGACAAAATGGAATGGTCAAGAACAACAGCAAGAGAACATTTTCTAAGTTCACAACAAAATATTTCAAAAAAACCCAATGGGATAAGAACACATTCATTTATTTCCTTTTCCTGAACAAGCTTTCATCAATTTTCAGAATTTGCAGCCTCTACGCATTTTAACTTTAGAACAAAATAATGAGGAATTGGCATGTACATTTCTCAAGTAATTATTTCAATCAGTTCCTGTATTTGATAAATTTGATGAAAGCATAGATTCACAAAACTCGGTAGATGTTAATATCTGACACCATAATAAATGAACTAACAGTAACAAAAGGAACTGCATGATCCAACAAACCATATTTGTGTTTGGGCACCTTTTTCTTCACAGGAGGAAAAAATGGTGAACGGCTATTCCAGCTTCGAGACACATTTAAATTTCATGTGGTTAGTTGAATGCAGTCTTTGTTTCAGAAAAATATCTGGCTGATCTTTGGAATATGGTAACTGGTAGTTTGGCGACATTTTGGAGGCGATAAAGGTTATTACCTAGGACTTTGGTAATAATGTGAGAAGCACTCAGTTAGGATTACGTGTTATTTTGTGCGAGGGAAATGAGAGATCATGAGATATGTCATGTGACATTAATGGACGAATTACAGTTGTTTAATCGGAAAAGGGGGGAAATCTGGAAATTTCGTATTTAGCTTTATTCTGTGTTGTGTGAAACGTGACATTAATGGACGAATTACAGTTCTTTAATCGGAAAAGGGGGTTAATTTGGAAAAATTATTTTGTATTAAGCTTCACTGTGTGTTGTGTGAAATAGTGTTGATTAATTTTCTATTAATTTCTTATTACTTGGTGAATAGACTTCCTTGACTACTGGATTTAGGATTTAGAAATTAGCAGTAGTACTGCACGCCACGTAATAGATTCTAAAGACGATAGTAAGTTAGTATTTTTAATCATTTAGGATATTATTTTTTATGCATGTTCTAAATGTAAGGAGTAAATTAATGTTGCATTATTGGAAAATGTTATTACAATGATTTAGTTTAAGTAATTAGGATTGAATCTAATTTTTATTAATTAATGTATGTGCTTATTTATATTTATGTAGTGTTTTTTATTTAATTATATTTTAATTTAATGATCGTGATTTTGTGAGTTATATATTTTAGTATTTTGAATACGTTTAGTAGTGTATTTTCATGCATGTTCGTGAATTTTTCTAATTTATGAGAAAAAGCAGTGTACATGGATTAGCGAAGAGTGTGCGCAATGCCATTTTTTGTGCATTCTGGGATGTTTTTTTAGTAAAAATAATCCGTGTACTGGTTTAGTGATATTTTAATAAATGATAGTTATTTTGTGAATTTTATGTTTGTAGGAATTTGTATACGTTTCATTTGAAGAAAGTGTATGGAAATAATTTATATTTACACTAAGTATTTGTAGTTTTTTAATGTTGCGTATAAATCATTAGTGACGTTTATAAATAATATAATTTAGAGGAAAAGCTTTTGGATTTTTATTTATTTTATACATGGAAATGTTCATCCTTGGAAAGGGTATGTACTTTTCGCGATCAGGTAATTTTCTAATGTGCTTTTTATCGAGTTTAAAGATTAAAAAATTTTCCTGCATTTTCGTGCAAATTTTTTATTTATGAGAAATAGCAGTGTAATGATAAAGTTAAGAGTGTGTGCATGCCATTTTTGCAATTCTGGGATGTTTAAGTAAATATCGACGTGTAAATAGTTTATGTTTGTGCTATCTGAAAACGCGCAAGGGTTTGCGTTCTGCACTTTTTTCCCAATTTTGCGTTAATATTTGTCATGACTTATCAGTTTTTTGTTACATAAATTTCTATCTATCATCAGTGAATTCGGCTAGTAGATTGTTGGAAAAAGTGTTGAGTAAATAATAAGAAAAGAAACATGTCTTTACTTCGTGAAGACAAAATGGCGGTGGAAAAAAAAATAGAGGGTTGCTGTAGCAGAGTTGGTCACCAAATTTTTGCCAAAAAATCGCCAAGTTACCATAATCCAAAGATCAACCAAATATCTTTCTTGAAGAAAGAAGACAGCTACTTGTTCCTCTCTTGGAAAACCTAAGTCGTGAAACATACTGCACTAATGAGGAAAAAAATTAATTAAATGAAAAATGCGGTTACACAAGCAAAAATTATCATCAGGGAGAATGTTGTAACACTTATCACCAAACTAGAGCCAAGAAAATATGTCAAAATAAAAGAACCCCCAAGTGTAGAAAAGAATGTAGGCTTTAACCGTTTGAATCCCATGGGGTATTGAAAAAACACTGTCAAAGAATCCTAAACAGGGCAACCACGGTTTCTCTAAATGAGTACGAAAAGACCCAAGCAGCGCAATAGTGCTTATTTTATGTCGAGAAATACCAAGCGGCACGACAGCGCTTTGTTTATTTTACATCGATGTGCACTTGATTTAAATCAAGGGCCTGAATTATCAACATCAAGTGCACCATCAGTTATCCACAACGTCTGAAATGTACTGCGTTTTTCTCAACATAAAATCTCAACAGCGCGATCACGCTGATTGGGACTCAAATGATTAAGAGAAAAGTATCCAGCTTTTAATAAATTTTTCCTCATAAACCCTTCTTGCTTAAAAAGATACTTTGGCAGTTGAAGAAATTTCTTAACAAGATTTTACTTTAAGTAAATGTATACAATATGTTTTTCAGAAATATACTAATCATTAAATGTCTCTAATATCATTTCTGGATATATCTATGGGGTGTCAATACAAGCAATTATTTTTCCCAAACATAGCCATACAATATGGTGTTATAGTATCCTAAACAAATTGAATTTTTTGCTCTAGTGTAGAATTAGGTGCCCCTTTGATTAGCGACAATTTTTTGTAAAATTTTGGCGATTAAATCTTATTTCTGGTTACCATGATAGTGTAACTTTGCTTTAGCCTCCTGATTTTTTAAAAATAAAAATAGCTTGATGTGTACATGGACAAATTTAAACAGTGCGCAATGCCTAGTTTGTGCAGTTCTGGGATGTTTTTTTAAGTGAAAACAGATCGATGTGTACATGGATACAGAGTTTATGCAATTCTTTGACTTTTTATTTTGGTTTTGTGTAGCGGTCATCTTGAAATTGTGTCTTCCCTGGCGCCGATCTTGGCGTCAAAAAAGAATCACCAAAAAACAAGGGGCACCCAATTGTACACTTTTACCACATTTTTTTACAATAAAAATCTCAACTAGTTATCAGCAACCGAGTGAATAAGCAACTGAACACTGATACTTTGTTCCAGATTCAATTTCTAGTGCCATTACAGAAATTCCTAAAATTAAAAAAAAAAAAAAAAAAAAAAAAATGTTCGACTACTCTTCTACAATAACCCTTAAGGACTATACAGTCGAACGTATTGCAGTATAAAGTTATACATTTGTTTACCAACTTGCAATCAGCATGCTGCAAAAATTACTACCGTACACTTATGTCAGAACTTTTGTACAGTAAAATCACAAAAATATTTCAGTATACATTTATATAATAATAATGAGGTAAAACATTATTGCATTTTATTACTTCTTACCGTTACCGGCTCTGGAAAAGATATTTCTATGACACTACAACCTGGCTTATAATCCGCTCGCTCATCATCCAAAAACAAAGAAACCGGAGGTCTTGCTTTAAATTCTAAAGACTTTCTTTCATCTACAATATGCATAACGTAAAGTATCAGTAGACAAGCTCAGTTTAAATAACTCACGACAATAATGTTTTTTGATACATGAGACATCATCAAATCACAAGGCGGCGCAACCATTAGATACCAAAACTATACAGCCTATCAGCAGTTCATATTTCGACTGCTACAAAATATGTTGCCACAAAATACTGCAAAATAAAATATCTCTTAGGGAATGCAAACGGTAATATTTAATCATATGAGTTGAAAGTAGATGTGCAGAGAAACTAAGTGAAATATGAGCATACACGTTACAAAAGAAATATACATAATTATCAGACAAACAGTAAATAATCATTATCTGTATTTAGAATAGACATTGATCTGTAACAGTCGGAGTATCTGGTTGTATCTGAGATGCATGCTTTCATACTAAAGCAAAAAGAGTTCATCGAAGTGTAGTTTTGAAATCTTAATTTTTTTTTAACTCAGTTGTAAATTCTCACTTTTTTAACATCTTATTCAAAATTTAAAGAATTGTATTAAATAAAAGCATGCTATCATTGCAAATATTATTCTTTTTTCCAGTTCTAATGAAATTCGTTTTCTTTAAGCTTTAATAGAAAACTGTTTGCCTAAAATGAATATAAATTATATCTTAAAATGTCATCAAGTTAGTTTAAAAATGCTCTGCCCAATGAGAGATAAATCCCCACTCTGGTGGCAAGTTTGGTAAACAAAATCTCCAGTACGTTGGTTGGGGTGTGTTCTCTACTAGAAGAAAACAGCTATTTGCTTGAAGGTGGAGCGTCTTTTACAGGTTTAGCTATAGTAAGGTAATTTTCAAGCTTTTGTAATGGTTGGGAGTATTGCCGAAAAGCAGTTTTTCAGGATTATTTTTCTTTTATATTCCTCTTTGTATATAAATTAATATAGTCATCATAATTACATTTTATAGTTGATAATCCGCTGTTTATTTGTTAGGGTAATGTTCATAATGTCTTTCTGATTGCTGAGTAATTATTTTAGCTCACCATTTTTCTAATGTATTTTATGAACTTGTAACGGAAAAATTGAATTCAGTAAGTTGTTATTTTAATGTATCATTATTTGGGCAGCATGTCCTCATTGTATAAAATACCGCTCTCAATTACTTCTCTGGTGCCAAAGCCTTCTCACATCAATTTATAATACTTATTTCTCTCCCTTTTTTAATTCATTTTTTTAAATGGTCTTTTTGCAACAAGCTTGTTGAATGTATTCTGAAAGTGTTGAGCATAAAGTGTACTGTCATTTCTAAAATACTTTCGCAGTTTAATTGTTCATGGCTAAGTTAGTACTTGATTTGTTCAAAAAGATTATATTTAGAATACTTTTTTTTAATCCCTTCTAATTAAGTGACTTGAAAAAATTCTTATGATTGAGCTGCTTAAAAGTGTGTGTAAAAAATGAAAGTATATATTGAATATCTGATAAGTAAGGCAATTTAAGTTTGAATCATTTGCTGAGAACCTGTTGAAGGTGTAGCATTAAGTTTTGAACCAATTAAGAACGTTTATTTATTAGGAAAAGATCAATAAGTGGCAGAGAAAAAAAAAACTGTATTTTGCTATCTTATGCTGAGGACCGTCTGCTCATAAGCCACTGGTGACCAGAGGTCAAGCATCCTTTGGTTTAACTCATTTATTGTGCTGTTCCACATCAATAGTTTATGAGTGTACTGTCAATGCACACAGGTATCCAGTTACTTGTCTGTTGATCATCTGGCTTGATGGACAGTGGTGTCCTTAAATGGTGCTTTCTGATTATCTGCAGTTCCATCCAAAAAGGTTATAAGAAGAGATTGATCAGATAATACATTATGTCAGCGAAAAGCATTTATATGGCAACCCACAATGTTGTCAGAAAGTATTTATGTGGCAACCCAGGTATATGCATAATATCTTCCCAGATGGCAGTTTACCTCTCTGGATACTTTTGCTAGCATGAACGCAAATTATAATCAGTCCTGTGGTAATTTCAGTGCTTAAAGCAATGTACTGCATACTACAGTTTAGGGTAAAATTTCTGATGTAGCTTTCTGCGTGCACAGAGCATAATGCAACTAGCTTAACAACATGTGCCTCTTTCTCATTTTAGGGTTTGATGTCAAGTTTGTGCAGTTCTCTGATCTTTTTTTTTTTTTTTTTTAAGTGAAAACAGATTGGTGTTTATATGGCAAGAACAACGTTGAAAAAAAACAGTGCACGTATCTTCTATATCTTATATGTGGCAGTAGGTACGTCGTAAAAATAGACATAAAGATCTCCAAACAAACTTTCTCTCCAAAACTGTCAATGAGTTTGCAGTTTTTTGGTGGAAGTGCTGATAATCAAAAAGCTTCCCATTAGATTAAATTTTATTTTAAAAGTTTGACTCCATTGATCTGTGTAAATAACAAGTAACTTTAAAGCCATAGATCACTGGGACCAATGGTTGTGACAGGATTTTTTGTCTTTATTTTATTTAAAATTTTAAAAATATGGCAAAATTTACTGTATTACCCTACACTAGCTATTGCATTAATGCTGGTGATCTATCTGATAAATCCTTACTGGCAGTTATCTCAGTCACCTGGGAGTGACAAAGTAAATTTTAATGGATATTAAAATTGATACTTTCTAATTATCTACATCCTCTTCTCCAAAAATTGACAACTCATTGGTGACTAGTTTTTTTTTTTTTTTTTTCCCCCAAGCTAATACGCAAAAGGCTACAGCGCATTTTTTAAACGTAAAACTAAGAATTCCACAAAAAGCAATCGGTCAGTAAAATTTAAAAAAACTAAATATATCTGTAATAATCAGTAATTTACCTTGTATGTTAGTGTAATTTTTTCACTGTTCTTCCCATGTACACAGTGATATGTTTTAACTTGAAAAAAAATCTCAGAATTGTAGAAATTTGACATTGTGACTCTTGTTCTCCCCATGAACTCAATAATCTGTTTTCATTTCGAAATAGCTGCTTTCTGATAGTGCCATTTTAACAGCATTATGGGCAAGTGGGCAAACCAGTGTGCTGAGGCATCCATCACTACCACAAGAACAAGGCCTCCCTTCTGCTACAAGTGACATCACTAGCTGGCAGACTAATAGGCATAACAATTTCTTGTACTCTGCCTCATGGTATTATGTGCTCACAGTTACAGCGTGATATTCTGTATAATGCATGTATATTTATAAAGGATTGATGAGTATTTTATGTGATGATTATCAATAATCTCCTGAAGAATGGTTTATACTTGTATACCTAATTGAACAGTGGTTTGGCACTTGTTAGGTGCGTTAATGTAAATAAAATGTTTGTAATTTTATTGCAAATGACAATAGTACTAGGACTGGCACTTTGAAAAGATCTAAGCCTAAACGGCTTCTAAGAAAATTAGTAAACACTCTCTTAAAGAGTTAAGACATTGATCGGTTTACATTGCCAAAAATATGGTTCATCCATCAAAAATTATCAAACCCAGTACAGTAGAAGTCCAGAAATCTGCAGAGCTTGGGACCAGAGGTTGTGCGGATTTTAGGGTTTTGCAGATTTCAGGACAGAAAAGATAAATCCTAATATTCAGACTAAAAGTGTGAAATAAATAAGGTGTATTAGATACACATATTTAATTAAATTATTATATACATTATTGTAATAAACTTATTATATGCATTAATTATTATTACATATTAATTTGATATATTATTCATTGTATTTTGTATGTACATAGCATTGAGGTCTGCCGATTCGCCTCGTGCAAGATTTTCCTGCTTCGGATTCCGGTGTTAGAATCACTGTTGCTGTAAATTTTCACAGCTTTTTTTTAGGTTGATCTTTACATTATGGTAACTTGGCGATTTTTTGGCGAAAATTTTTGCAACCAACTCTCCTACGCAACCCTCTATTTTTTTTTTTTTCCCCTCCGCCATTGTCTTCACAAGAAAGACATGTTTTCTTTTCTTTTTATCTACTGAACACTTCTTCTTCCAACAATCTACTAGCCGAATTACACTTATCTAAATTTTATCAACAAAACTGCTTAATCTGACAAATTCACGCAAAATTGGGAAAAATGCACATACCACTCCTTACGCGTTTTTCAAATACCATCACATATCCCATGTACACGCCGACTATTTTTACTAAGAAACATCCCAGATTAAAATGCATTGCGCACACTCTTCACTATACCAACACTGCTTTTCTTCTAAATGAAAAATTTCAGAAATACATGAAAAGAAATCTTTAAACCCCCGGTAAAAAGCATATATTTACCTGATTCGAAAAAGTATTTACCCTTTACAAATATGACATTTCCCACATATCAAATAAATAAAATATAAACCCGGGTAAAAGAACATATATGAAATTACCTGATTGCGATAAAGTATTTACCCTTTACAAATATGAAACATTCCACATATAAAATAAATAAAATATCAAAAACGTTTACCTCTAAATCATCTATTACATTTACACGTACCACGTCAACCGCAAGCATTACAAATACTAATATCAGTAAATTATTTCCATGCACGTATCAACTTAAAACGTATACCAAACTACAAACATAAAATTCACAAAATACATTTCATTAAAATTAAATTCAAAACACTACTTAAAATATAAATGAGTACTACATTAAAATTAATAAATTACTTACAATCCTAATTACTTTAAACTAAATCATTGCTAATAACAATTTTCCAATAATACCAATTCCTGTCCCCTTACATTAGAAAATGCATAAAATAATATCCTCAAATATTAAAAATACTAACTTACCTATCTTCTTCAGAATCTGATTATGTGGCGGATACACTTTTCTAATTCATTCAATAAAATTATTGAAAGATTTTTTGCGAATTTTTCCTCCATACTTCCTCCGCTAAATAAAAGCAAACTTCTCTTTATCACAATGCCTAATACCCATTTCGAATTCACTTTAGTTAGGGCCATGGATCCAAAAATTAACACAAACACACAGATAAAGCTAAATACAAAATTTCCACATTTTTTCCCGATTTCCCCCCTTTTCCGATTAAAGAACCGTAATTTGTCCATTAATATCACATGACATATCCCATGATCTCTCATTTCCCTCACGCAAAATAATGCGTAATCGGAACTGAGTACTGCTCACATTATTACCAAAGTCCCAGGTAGTAACCTTTATCGCCTCCAAAATGTCGCCAAACTACCAGTTACCATATTGTAAAGATCAACCTTTTTTTATTTTTCTGTATATCATACACAATCGTTTTGCAATTCCATACAATTCTGCTATAAAGCGAGGAGTAGCACCTGCTTCCTTCTTTTGCAGAATTTGCGATTTTTGCATTACCATCAATGCAATGTGTTTTACAAAATATCCAGATAATCTCGTGAAATAACAAAGCTCAGAAAATACAAAAATGTGAATTGTGAACTTGAAAGAAAAGTGAATCATCTGCTTTTTTACCTCGATGCAGATTAGAGGGGGAAAAACTTTTATTATGATGTCAATAATTTGGTATTTTCATTATGACTCTTTATTATTCGGTAATTATGACGTCATTATTCGGTAAGTATTTTTTTATCGATATTTCATACTCAATGTTGTGGTTTCCAGAACCTGTAAATTGAATCTTTATATTTTGAGAGGCAATGCAGATTTCAGGTCGGCAGATTTTTGGTATTTTACTGTACTGACATACCTGCAAGTAACAAATTTTAAAACTTAGCTAGAGATGTAAATGGAAATACTAGTACTGTTATGGACACTCAGTCTGACAATGTAATAGCAGTGCAAGCACCCAAAATAAAACCAATTAAGATTATTATAAAAATCTTAACTGACTTGGACTGAACACTTTTATAGATATTTTTCAAACTTTTTAAGGAAATAAATAATATGTTTAAATGTTTTTCCCTGTTAAATATAATTTCCAAAATATTGGCTAAAATGCCTGAAATTAATGCGACTGAAAATGCTATTGATAAATTCTTTATATTGTTCAATCTGTTCAAAGAATTTTCACTGTTAATAATGTTACTAATGAAAAATAATTACATGTAATGTAAGTTACAGTTATAGTCCTTGTTTGCTTTATATCGTAAACTCTCCTTATCTACTTCTCATGTTTACCGTTACATAATAATTACATATAATTTCCTTGTTGATGTTCCCTTCTACATTTTAAAGTACCTGATCAGTTTTGCTACTTTTACTCTGTCTATTATTGATATTTATGTGTATATATTCTACCATGCTATTTATGTAATTTATTATGGCTAGTGCTATTGTTTGAAAACTCTTCATTCTTGCCGAAAGACTCGCACTTAATTATACTATATTTAATGTATTTTACTTTTCAATAACTTTAATCATCAGTTCGCACAGCTTTCACGCAGATGCTTATTTTGTTTTTCTCTATTGAATCTCTCAGCCCTTCTCGAAACATTGTTATCAACCTACTAACTTTTCAGCATATTATTTTTAATTTTAATCGATTATGTTTCTACTAGCTTTATTCAAAATTGCTCATAAATATTTGCAGTTATTTTCTTGCGTATATATTGGTAAAGTCCCAATTTTGTTCGATAAGTGGTAGTGCCTTTGACCCAGGTACACCATTTTTAGTGGTGGTGTTTTCACCCCCATTTCTGCCGTTGTCATAAAGTAAGTTCTACTGTTCACTTTGTAACCTCTCAAGGTGTTACAAGACGATAAAAATGTATAAATAGGCAGAGGGAGGTGTTTCAGATGGCATAACTTTAATTACATGCTTGAGTAGTTGTGACAGACAGGCACAGTCTGAATTTTTGCATCAAATTTGTATATATATAAAATGAATTATAAAAATTAATCTTTGCAAGTCTTTCAATCTTTGCAATATGAGAAACAGGAAAAGAAACTGTTAGAATTTGAAATAAAGAATAGTCTCTTTTTAAAGGCTCTTTCAAAAATGAGATGCATAAGCATTTGTTTTCTTTACAGGTTTTGCAAAGTATGCCTCCTAAGCGCAGTGAGAAACAGAATCCAAAGCCTAAAGGCAGGGTGGGAAGGCCTCCAAAAGTAAAAGCCAAGGCTTCTTCAAATGCTGTTTCCAAGAAAAAAAATCATTCTAAAGGTCATTTGAAAATCAAGAAAGTAATCAAAGCAATTAAAGCTGTCAAGGAAACTAAAATAAATAAAAATATATTGTCATGTTCAAATTGCAAGGAGAGTTTCTCATCTGCTTTGCAATTCAAAAGACATCAAACTGTGTGTGGGGTAAAGGAGAAAGTAAAGGTAAGACCTTTCATGTGTTTTCTTTAAAATATAAATTCTATTCATATCCATAAGGAATTTTGTTTCAGTACATATCATACTACAGTGGTCTCGGTTAGAGTAAGTAGATTGAAGGGTGCCTCTTGTATTATCGCAATGTTGTTTTTTCATTTATGGTAACCTGAGTAGTTGAATGTTGTGGAAATCCTATTGTGATGTAATCGTTTGCATGATTGTGGTAAATTTTGAATTATGGGAAAAGATTTGTAAGGGCCCGTGGTATGTGTTGGTTAGGAAGTACATTGCTTGCTTTGTGTTTTAGACGGTAAAATGACTGAATGTGGTAAGATTAATTTGAAGTTTTTGTACGATTTGGAAGTAAAGGGGCAAAGAGCATTAAATGAGTAGTGTGTAAATGAAGGTTTACATAGAAGCCATTATAAGTGTCCTGTTTGTTGGAAGAAAATGCGCATGATCGAACGCTGGAGGTTACCGGCACTATGGAGGATATTTTTTACTCTTATTTTTGTGAATTTATGTCGCTTCTCCAGTATACAGATTCTAGTTTAGATAGTTTTAGGATGCTGTTAAGGAATTTTGTTTCACTGAAGAAAGGAAAATTTCTAAATAAGGTAAGTGGTAATTTCCTTTGTGTAGTGCTAAGATGAATTTCCTTTTTTATGTTATTTGTTTGCTTGATTTAAAATGTAGTTTATTGAGATTATATATTTTTTGTTGGCTGCCCCTTTGACTTTTTAAGTGAATATAGATCAATATGTACATGGACAAAGTCAAGTGAGTGTGCAGTGCCAAAATAGGTTGATGTGGCCAAGATCAGTGCCAGGAAGGCACAATTTTAAGATGGCCGCTACACAAAACTAAAATAAGAAGTCAAAGAATTGCACAAACTGAGTGTCCATGTACACAGCCATCTATTTTCACTTGAAAAAAATCGGTGAATTGCACAAACTCGTCATTGCGCACTGCCTTCACTTTCTTCATGTGCACATCGATCTATTTTCACTTAATCAGGAAGCTAAAATTAAGTTTAAACTGTTATGGTAACCAGAAATAGGGTGTCATTAAGTTGAGCGAAATTTGTCGCCAATCGAAGGGGCGCCCAATTCTACACTAGAGTGATTTAACCTAAAATAACACCGGTACTTTTCCGTTTCGCCGGTGCAAATCTCGCCAAGCAGACTTTGTTGGCGACAACATACAGTATACACATAAAAAATGTTAATTCTAAGAATTTTTTTTTATTTTGAAGGCATAAACATTTTAATATGGTTTAAAATTTTGTAAAAAGCCAATAAATAAGACAATAATTTGTAAAAAGACATTAATTTAAGAATTTACTATGATTTCATGGTTCAAAATCCTGATTCGCCGGTTCGTGTCACGTGACCCCCAAGTGATCTCATCTCACGTAAACTACGCTACTAAAATCTAATTCGCTCAGTAATTATCTACATTAATTTCAAGTTAAATCTTAATTTGGAATACAAGTTTTAAATGCAAGAATTATTTCAATTCGTACGAATAGCTTACTCAGAAATTATGTAAAAACCGCAGTGCTTTACTTCGCTCTAGTGCATTCTCATTAGAATTGATGAATTTAACACTTGATTTCGCCTTCGGATGAGCGGTGTAATTGCGTTCTAATTGACTTAGAACTAATTGATTATTACCGTGAATTGTCTTAGGGGATAAAATTTAAATATTGTGTAAAAATTCTATATGCCAGTATTGAAAGAAACAATCTGATAAGAAATGGCTTCAACTTGTTTTGAAACTGAGGCGTAAAAGGTTACCAGCGAAGATATTTCGTCTGGCATCAGTTAAACCATTATTGGCGACTTTACGTTTGCGCCGGCAAAACGGAAAAGTACCAATAACACCAATAAATTCCAAACAATTTCAACACAAATTCAAAAAAAAATTTAAAGCAATGCAAAAATAAAAATAATTCTCTACAAAATTAAAACAATAGAAAAGCAAATTCACTTACCATTCAAAATAGTTTCCGAAAAAGCAAAATATTCATTTCTAACAAAAACTTGTAAGGATAGACATATCACATATATAATCCAATATACTTTCATTAATAAAACTTATGCCAATCACACAAAGCATGTGAACCAAAATGCCATGGCTTAGCTATATCAGATATCTTTCTACGATTCAAAATTTCAAATGTTACAATAAGAATTTCATCGAAAATCAACTTACTGCAGAAAAACCAGGATCCAAAATGTTCAAAGCCACATTCTTAACCCTCAACAATTTTTCTTCCGAGTCTTCATATCAGAGCCGCATTTCTCACATGTCAAGTTCGGTTTCAAAAATCCTGTATCCCATAAAAACTGCAACAATACACTTCTGTGAGCATAAAGACAACCAGGAACTGAAGTTTCTATAATAACTCTAGCAACATATCTTCTCGAACTAAATCTAGCTTGAATACACTCTAAAATACGTGGCTGGTATTTCTCGATAACTTCCTTCATGGAACTATATGGCATTATTCAACATGTAACCAAAATACCACCCCGACGAAATAAAACCACATTCTCCACAAAAGTTTCCACGTAAAAAGGGTTACCATACAAAGAAAATCTCGCCAAAATGTCAACTAAACCATCCAACACAAAATAGTCACATTTGGCAACTGCATGTATCTCGGACCATATATGTGACATCTTAGCTGTTATTCTTAGGTCCTGAACTATGTGCTTTTAAAATTAGGTCATTTTGAAAGAGAAAAACTTCATTTTTCTCAAGAGATAAATGGAATATATAATTTATATTTTCAGTTATTTCTTCCACATCAACATTGCCAAATGGGTAACACATGAATGTAACAATTGATTCTTGTAAATTCTTGAAAATGTCTCTCAAATTTGAAATTTTATTGTTTCATCATAATATTTCTCTTTGCTTAATGTACTTCTGTTTTTAAACCACTCGTCAGAAATATTTTTGAAATTTTTTAGTTCATTCTTCATTAACTGGGAAGGTAGTAGCTGTAACTTGTTTTTGAAAGTGTCAACAAATCCAATCAATTCTAGTAGAGTACAAAGTCTTTAATCCGGACTCGTCGGGACTTCGGCAATTCCGGATTATTGGTTTTTCCAGATTATAGATAATCAATTTAAATCTGGTAAGATGGCATGCAGAAATTATAAAATTAAAAATATAAACAGTAATTTATGAAATATAGCAATGGATCTAAAGGGTATCAAATTTACAAAAAAAAGGCTTAAATTTTATTTACTTTATTAAACATTTCTTTTAATGTAGTTGTTTAAGTTGCTTTGTTTATGTGCTAATACTTTCCTTTATTATATAACACATTTCTTGTTCAGTTACAAAGTATCGCTGTTCAAGTCTTGTAATTGCTGTGCCGAGAATACCGACTAACTTGTCAATCGAAATTTTTTCGTTTTCACTAACCGCTCTGTGACTTCATGCCTTTATCCTTTTTTTGCAGCAATTCCACTTTTTGTTTGATGGACATCAAAACATGCTTTCGCTTTGTAGAACCTTTGGCAGCTTGAGAATCGGAAACTCTTTTTGACATAATCGAGAGTTCAAGCTTACTTTTTTTTAAATTGCTCTCACAGTGTGCAAAAAATAATAAGCTGGATCCAATTCGAAGATTAAGGAACAACGCAATCTGAAACATTAACTGAAATAGATAATTAGATAATTTTAGCCTAGCTTATACCATCCGTTATACACTAAATGCGCATGCGTAAATGTATTATGCGTAAACACTACGCATGCGCAGAAAGTTTGTAGCTTTGAGTTCCGGATTAAAGGCTTTGTACTGTATTGTTTGATTTTTTTCTTGTAATTGTAAGTTCAGAATTCAGTAAGATGGCTTGTTAAATCGGCAACAAAAGCTAAATCTATGAACCAAACGTCATCACCGAGTTCAACGTAATATAGAGTGAAATATTTTCCTCCTCTCTATATATTTTTAAAGGCACAGTAAACATCTTCACTTTGTGTTTTCTTCTTTAGAGGTAATATTGTTAATAATTCTTCTTTTACACTCATATCCTTAAAAACCATTCTTATAAAAATGCAAAGCTGAGAAATATCAACTATCTGTAAATTCGTCACAAGGCAAATAAGGTAGGGAAAGGCAAATATAGTTAGTAAAATCTTCAGTTGGCTGATCTACCAAATCAGAATTCATCATTTCTATAGTGTGTGAAGGTTCTATGCGAAAGTTATACATCTTTAATAGCAGAAATAATTTAATTTTTGTTCTTGAATGAATCAAATAATGAATCGCTGGCTTCCAAAAAAAGCCTTTTTTATCATTTCTCCATCTGTGAAAGGTTTCTTATGTTCTGCTAATACGACCTAGAAGTTGCAACTGTTACATATACCGTATTTGACGGCATATAAGACTCGCTGGCATATAACATGCACCCTTATTTAGACGGCCACACACAAGGAAAAAAAGTTTCAATAGCGTGGTTTCTTTTACTTCTCACGTTTCGTAAAAGCCAAATAAACAATTATTGAATGCAATTACCTTCACGTATAAGACGCAGGTAACTTTTTTGAGACCAAATTTAGGAAAAAAGTGCGTCTTATATGCCATCAAATACGGTAGTTGGTTTAACCCCTTAACTGCCGTGGAAAGCGTACAAGATTCATTTCCCAGTGCCACGGGTTTTCACCACACACGCGCATAGTTATGCGATGTATTAGGAGGAAAATAAGTCCAAGTTTTGCTTTCTAAAAACTGTTTACTTTCACAAAATAGAGAATAAAAGAAAAAAAATGAATGCACAAAATTTTATGTTTTGAGTAAAAGTATAATAAAAAAGATCCTTAAAATAGAGTTTCGATCAATTCATTTTTAGACCAGTAAAGTGTAATATCGGGTTTCAGTGTTATACCTTGTGAAATCAGTATGCCTAAAAAACACATATTTCTTCTGAACTGGTTTAATGCCACGATTTTGTTCTTAAATTTTTGTTTGCAAGGTGTTGGTTCATATACTCGTCTACAAAACGGTTAGTTTCAGTAACAATATGAAGCCCAAGCAATTCGTCAAAAAATAATTCAAAAAAATAATGGGTTTGAAACATCCGTTATATCTTTCTTTATTCTTGGAACCTACAAAAAGTAAACGAAAACAGAGGACACAGAATAAAAAAAAAAATGTTTTACTCAAACAACACTAGCCAATACTGCGCAGTTATTACTTTCACGACTTTAGACACATCCCTCCCTCCAATTTCTCTCCACACTTCTCTGAAATAGTATCCTCCTTTGCATACTTTGTCAAGGTCATTGTGGTGTTGCATTCCAAAGCTTTGTGAATAATTTTACGGCTAGCAGCGCAAAGCAAATGATAGTATTTTGGAAGGGCATATATATACGCCCGTGGCAGTTAATGCATTGGCTGAACAAGATGTATATATACGCCCGCGGCAGTTAAGGGGTTAATAAAATATGATTGTTGTCTGATTAATTGTGATTTAAATCATTTTAACTTTTTTTTACACAATTCACTTTATAAAGGAAAATCTGTGTCAAAACTTCCATGCGTGCTTTTGAAATGCTTGTCAACATTTCCTTTTTTTGGAAGCTCAACACTTGTATGACATATATAGCACACACATTATGCATTCATCATTGTAAAGAAATAGTGTTCTTCCCATCCTGTAATAAAATTGTATGCTTTTCTTTTCTTAATACTTGTGTTCAATATTGTACCTCCTTTTTAAAATATCATAGATTACTATTTTTCGTAGAAAAACATGAGTAACACAAAATTGTTGAGTTTAATGTTTGAAGAACACATGTGTGCTTAAGCATCATCGTGTGCTTCCAAGGATGGTACATGTGTCGTCTACACATTCATCGAATTATTTGCTTAAGTAAACACAGTCGCATCGATTGTAAAAACCTGATTTTCCGGTCAAAAGTTTTGCCATCATCTTAAAGCAGATGTATTTCTAAGCATACCTGCAAAAAATAAAGTTTTTTTTTATTCAAAATTTCCTAGGATATACGTGAATAGATATATTGGCGCATTCTGAAATCTAGCATATTTGTTATAAGCAATAATAACGCCAAATGTGGTTTACACAATTTGTTAAAATTATTTGAAAGTATGAATGATGACTTTTTTCCTGCTCATCTACAGTGAAAAAAAGGAAAGGAAACTATGTTGCTATAAATTAAGAAGTTCGCCAAGTGAATTATTCTTGGCGCAAACTGTAAAAAAAGGGAGGGCCAAGATAATTTTTTTAATTTCTTCATAAATTTCACGCCGAATTTCACAAAATTTAATATTTAAGCATAATTTTAGTCGTAGAATTGAAATATGGAAAAAAATTGGCATATCATTTCAGAAAAAGTCGAATTTTTTGTCAAAATACCTATGTTAGAATGTAAGTTATACAGTCAAAAGTCGTTAATCCGGACTCGTCGGGACTTCGCTGATTCCGGATTATAGATCATCAGTTTAAATCTCGTAAGATGGCATGCAGAAATTCTAAAATTAAAAATATGAAACCTTAATTTATGAAATAAAGAACAATTATAATCTAAAGGGTATCAAAATTTACAAAAAAACAAGCTTAATATTTATTTGTTTACTTTATTAAACTTTATTAAACATTTCTTTCAATGCAAGTTGTTTTAAGTTGCTTCGTTTTATGTGATAATACTTTTTCTTTAATTCTATAAACAGACACAACTTCTAGTTCAGTTACAAAGGTCCACTGTTCAAGTCTTGTTAATTGTTGTACCGAGAATACCAACTAACTTGTCAATCGAAATTTTTTTCGTTTTCACTAACCTCTCTGTCACATTCTTCATGTCTTTATCTATTTTTTGCAGCAATTCCACTTTTTGTTTGATGGACATCGAAACATACTTTCGTTTTGTATGATCCTTTGGGAGCTCTAGAATCAGAAATTCTATTTGACATAATCGAAAGTTCAAGTTTACTTTTATAAAATTGCTCTTACAGTCTGCAAAAAATAATAAGCTGGATCCAATTCGAAGATTAAGGAACAATGCAATCATCAACATTAACTGAAATAGATAATTTTAGCTTATACTGTCCGTTATACGTAAAACGCGCACGCAAAAACGTATTCTGCGCTTGCTCACACGCATATGCGCAGTCATAAAAGGTCTTATGCGCACGGCGGCGCATGCGACAAAGCAAGTTTTTAGCTGTGAGGTCCGGATTATGGGTGTCCGAATTAACGACTTTTGACTGTATATACCTATGTGTAATATCTATCCTAAGTCGCATTTTTGAGACATGGAAATGCAATTTGAATTTCATCAATCAGCCCGATCGAATGGGTAGTTACAGAACTGTCTTCCCTTTTTTTTCAGTGTACCTCACATTGGGGGAAAACAGCGGCACTTAAAGCCACCAAGTTTTTCTTCCCTTTGAACATGAGCACTTCAAAGCCCAAATTTTGTTTTTGATATTTCATATTTTGTACAAATTTAACAAATTTTTGTAACAAACTCGGTGATTTGAAGAAGGTGTGACAACACTGTTATCTCCGGCACTCCAAACTGTTACTGTTCAGCAAAATGTATGATATTTATCTTTCAACTTTAGTCCACGAATTCAACTACTTAAAAGCTGCCATTGCCTCCAACAGGGTACTTATTAGCTCCAACCACCAGCATATTGTCATTCGGTAAAGTGCAAGTGATTTGATTTTCAAATTTCATCTTTTTATTACTGAGTAGCAAGCAGATAAAGGGATTGAAAAGTAATAAGCACAATTCTTAATATTTTTTCTGTTTTTTAATCTGATTGATTTAAATCATGAGATGTCTGTGTAGAAAAATTTAATGTTTTTATGAAATGACACTAGCTGGATTTATTAAAATCGTTACATACGTTTTTATGATAATGCTTTTAGGTGGCTGACTACTCAAGAGGCTAGATTTTAAAGAAATAATATAGTGAATATAAAAAAAAAGTATGGCAACTCCTAACATTCTATCAGAAATTCTAAAGAGATGCTGTTTTTGAATATTTTGTGTGTGTATAAATGTGAAGAATGCATTGCTTAATATTAAATTATAAATACAAGCATCGGAGGTTATCAATCTGCTATTGGATTCACTCCTGTTAATAAGCTAAAAAAATTGTATTAGCAGGAAGGAATCCAATAGCAGATTAGTAATGTGCGATGCTCGGTGAGAGCGTAACAACCTTAACAAATCCTCTGGTACTACGTTAAAATCCGAATCCTTTCAAATTTTCTTTCTTTTTTTATACATTTGATTAACTGATCTAGCAAAGTTATTTCCTTATCAGCTGCTAGTTAGTAAAAGAGAGTTGAATTTTATTTTTAACTAATATTTTCTATTCGTAAAAAGCTAATATAAATTCAATTAAGAAATTTTAATTGCAAAAATAAAAAATTAATTATTGCTGCAAACTAATTTACAATATCAATTATCATCTTTTGTTATGTCTGCGAGAAAGGTAAAATACTCGTGTACATTTCAAAAATCGTACACAGTTGACTTTCCTTCCATTATTTCCTCAAGGAAATGTAATAAATTTGCAATGTGTACCGTCTGTCGTTGCGATTTTTCGATTTCGCATGGTGGAAGAGCGGATGTTCTGAAACGTGTGTGTAAGCAAAAACACAAGGACAACATGAGTTGTTTTGAAGAAAAAAAAAAAAAAAATGAAAAATTTCTGCAAATTGAGTGCAGTTTACTTTCTGTCCCCACTTTAGAAGGACATTCGACAGGCTTTAATATAGCCAGCTAATTATTAAAACTTCAAAAGAAAATGCAGTCCCTCTGGATAATTGCTTAGCACTTGGTGCCGATAATGCACCAGTAATGGTAGGCTTGAAGACTGGTGTTGCCGTCATCTTAAGAAAGGAAAATTCAGATTTGCAGATTATGAGGTGCACCTGTCACCTCTTAAATTTAGCAGCTGAAAAAGGGGCAGCTTATTTACCAACAAATGTGGATGAACACAGTGTTGATATTTATTATTATCTTGAAAGGAATTCTAAAAGGAAGGGGAAATTGAAACAGTTCCAACAGCTGTATAACAGCAGTTTACAATTAGAAAACTTGTTATAAAATCAGCTAGGATTGACACCTAGGGGAGTTTAATTGTGAAACTGAAAGGTGTTGATAGAATTTTAAAAATAGTGAACTATCTAGAGTTATATTGGCCATCTTGACAGTTCCCCATAGTAATGCAGAGTGTGAGAGGATTTTCAATGTTGTTGCGAAAATGAGCGCTAAATTTAGATCTAATATTAGTGATGACACATTAGATAAACTTTAATTAGTGAAAGCAGGCCTACGTGGCAATTGCTATGAACAAAATTACGAAGCTTCTTTCTTACCGAAAGCAAAATCTGCCACCGTTCGTAACATTTGTACGAAAACTGATTAGTCTTTTTTGTTTTGTTTTGTGTTTTCTTAAACAATGCAAGTATTTTTTTTTTTTTTTTTTTTTTTTTTTTTTTTTTTTGTGTGTGTGTGTGTGTGTGTGTGTGTGTGTGTGTGTGTGTGTGTGTGTGTGTGTTAAGGTATTTTTGTGTTGCTTGCATTTAAGAATTAGTTAAGGTTAATTCATTGTTAAAAACTATATTTTTATCATTTAAAAAATCTCCTGATTTCTTTAAAAAAATCTGACTTTTGAGTGTCATCTTTTCTGCTGTGCATTTCTTATGATATTTAGAGATATTCATAATCAAATATTATATTACTTTATTGTAGACTGTTCCTAAAAAGCGAGCACATGCAGAGCGTGTAAATGATGCTGAAGTTGTAAGCAAGCACAGGAAGAAGACTGATGAGGATATTACTGTCGTAGATACTTCAGCTAAAAGTAAAAAGAAGAATGGGGAGAAAGATGTTTTGCAAGCATTTATGTCAAATAAAGTTCAGTCCTTGCTATCTGGTGCTAAAACTCATGCAAAACAACTGACATTGGAATCAAATAAAAGTATCTCTGCTGAAAAAGAAGTTGCTATTTCTGCATCTGCTATGCGGAAAAATATTGCTCTGTCTCTACAGAAATCCAAGTCGACTGAAAATGTTAGAGCCTCTCGTGTTACTCGTAAGAGTGGAAACAATGCCGAGCAGTCTTCTGATGTTGAATCTCAAAATTCTGTAATGCCATCAACCTCTAAAACTGCTGCTAAAATTACAAAAAAAATTCAGCAAAAACTATCTACCACTCCTGTAGTTGAGAAACAAAATAAAAAAGTTACTACTACAAGAGCAAGTAGAGGAAAACCATCTAAAGCAACTGAATCTCCAACAACAGAAAGTGTAAATGGAAGCAAATCAAGTGAGAAAGAAGAGACAGAAGTGATAGAAATTGTTAATGAAATTGACAAGTCAAAAAAGGCAGCTGAACCGCAATTGACGAAAAGTACAGTTGCAGGAAAATCAGCTGGAAGTTCAAGAACAGAGGTAACTGAAAATGCATTTGAAAATTCATCAAGAGAGGGAGTTGAAGTCGAAGTTGAAGTGACAATAAATGGAAATGAAGAATCAGAGGATATGGTGAATGATGAAAATGCAGTAGAAGGAAGTAAGCATTATTAATTAATATGTGCGTACCTTTTAATATATTAAGCCATTGAATTTAAAAAATTAATGCATTGAATTTTTTTAAATGATGGAATTTTAGCAAACGAAATTGTCAAAATCTTTGTATACTTCCTATGTATTAATCTAGTTATTTTCCTGCATTTATCTTTATTTCTTATAGGTACATTGCAGTAATTATCATTAATACATGAAACATAATTTAAAGAAATATAGTCCCCAGCTTTGAAATTTTCTACAATCACTTCAATAACATTTTATTTTTTATTTTGTTAAAGAAAATAAAATTTGAGTAATTTGATTAAGCTCTTACAGAGAGTTTTCCAACTTAAAATCAAGGTGGTAAAATAATTCTGTTTTTATTGTAGTGAGAAAGGATAATAGTATTAGATGTGCACAAAAATTCTACCCCTTTTCTTAGTTGGGGAAGGGGGGAATGGAGAGCACAGAAATTTAAAAAGCTATAATTTTTTCCATATCCATTATTATGTATTCCTATCTGGTAGTAAATTTATTCCACATTAATAGAACTCCTGTCTTTTGGTAGTGAAAGTTCTAGTAAGGCCAATTTGACCTTCATCAACTATTTGGAGAAAGAAAGTGTTCTGTAATGATCAGGTGTGATTATCACCAGTATACTCCAGGTAGATTAATACTTTCCAATCAAAGCTCAAGTAATTTTTTTGAAGTCACTAATATAGCATGAAGTGTAGAATTATCATGACGAAAGATAATACTTTGCCGTTCATGAGCATTTGCTATTTAAATATCAGTTTTTTCTGTCTGTCCAACTGTAAGCAGTAGAAGTAATTTATTTACTTCTATTTCAGTAAATTAACAAAATCTTTTTGGCCAACTATCATATTGCCATTAAAAAAGTGCCCCTGATATTTGAACTGTTCCCTGGTGCAAGCATTTGATTGGCCCTTAGGACCAATTCCCCCTCACCACTTCAAGTATTTTTAATGCCATATGAGAGGAAGTGACTAATCATGGTAATTCAGCCCATGTTGTGAACTCTGTGTTGATATAATTTATTGTTGTATTGGTAGGCTGCGGCCTCAGTGCATGGACATACCTACTTGGATCATTTGTTATGTGTGATGTCGTTTACCATTTGCCCTCTGGTAGGCAGAGGTGTGTGCTGTTATCACATCTGAGTTGCCTATATGGCAGTCCTGAGCGCTAGCTTCTACTCTCTTTGATGTTTTGCTCTTGTATCGCCATCTGTGAACACAGGTAGAAGTGTGGCACTACAAAGTTCCGGTATCATTGAAGTTGGTAAATGACCTTGGAGTTGAAAGTATGTCCATTTTTTAGTTGTCTTATCACCATCACAAAAGTGTTCCAATGTGATCACATCCAATAATTTAACTGTTCACTGTTACAGGTATCTGATTAATCCTGAGGACTACTATGCATTCCTCCACCTCTCCAAGCTTTCCTAATGCAACTGAGAGGATGTCCTTCTGAGGGATGCAACTGGTCATCGCTATTGATCCCATATTGTGGGCATGGTGGCAAACTCTATGCTTTGATGTGATTGATTATTGTGTTGGTGAGCTGTGATTCCAGTGTATGAGTATGCTTAATTGGGCCTTTTGCACTGTAGAATGTGGGGTGTATGAGATAATTTATCATTGGCTCCAGGTGAGCAGAGGTATCTGTTTTTGTCATGTTTCAGATTATCATTGTGGGGATCCTAGATATTAGCTCATTTTCTCCTTACTGTTTTGCTGGTTACTTACATTGTAACTGTTACAATTCTACAAAGTAACCAAAAACGTTTTTGCCGTTTTGGACAGTCAGTAAGTCGTAAAACAAATAATAATCACCGTTAATCCTCAAAGTAATCATCATCAGCATCTGATGCCTTTTGGCAATGAGTGACTTGCTGTGCGATGCCATCACAGTAAAACTGAATTGTTGAAGGATTTCCCACGAAGATTGTTGTCCAGGGGGTGGGAAAGGTGGAGTCTGTTGGTGCATGGTCTGGAGAGTATGGTGGATGGATTGTGTCTCCCAGCTCAGTCACTGGATGGTGTCCCTGGCCTGCCTAGCCACATGCAGCATCGCATTGTCATGGAGAAGAAGTACATCATTATGATTAGCCAATGCTGGCTCTTTATGCATCAGTGCTTTATGCACATGTTCCAACTACTGCGAGTACAGACCTGCCATGGTGGTTTGGCCCACTGGCAGGAGCTCATAGTGCACTACTTGGCGACTAGTCCACCAGATACAGAGCCTGGTCTTGCATGGATGAAGAGAAGGTCTTGCAGTGTGAGGCAGAGGGTCCCGTGGTGACAACGAATGTCTGGAATGCCTGAGTGTGTCAGACTGGACCTACTTTTCATCGCTGGTGTGTACTCAAACAAATATGGATGCTGTTGTTTCTAATCTACGAGTTTCAACATGCCGACGATTCTATTTGGGAGAGCTTTTGGTTTTGATATCAAATTTAAACTCTAATCGTAACTTAAGTCTTGATGACTATTTATTTATGTGCATCTGCTATATTACACTATTTATATAATTCAAAGTTAATTTTAAATCATGATGGGAATTATCCCCCCTTCGAATCAAATTCTATTAAGAGAGGCCGAGTAAGCGACCACTTAGTTCGAAGTTTTGTTTTTGATTCCCCGCCGCCAATGGCAGTAGCAAAACTTTTGCTCATTTTGCATTCGAGTTGTAACATTTCTCCCACCTTTTAATTCGTGATGGAATAGGAGAAAATCAAAACAAGTATGAAATGAAATTTTCAGTAGCAATATAAGATGCTTCTCATCTTATCATTTAAATCTTACCACAAATTGACAACTTTACCTAGGCGTAACAAATATCTTGAATATTTTAAACTTACTTAATATACTCCGGCCCACCAGCGGCTGAGCGGTAAAGTCGCTGAACACTGGTAGTTCGGTCCGAGGTTCGAATCCCGCGAACGGGCTGGCTGCATGGGTGTTTTCGTGGTTTTCCCCATGTGTAACGTGTATACAAGCCAGTTTCCCTTAGAAAGTCCTCCACGAAGGCATCCCTCCCCTTAGGCAGATAGCCCTAGTGTGCTTTGCCATAATTTAAATACACACTTAATATACTCCAAACTTGCATTCTTTAAACAAAAGGCAAAAAATTCTTTTCTGAAAAATACTAGTAAGTAGATTAGTTCCATAAAACTGAATAAAATCAAATTATATACAAAATTTTAAATTTCGAAAAAAGAAGAAGAAAAAATTTTCGAAAAGTCCATAGGAATCTGTTACCTAAAGCAACTTAACATTTTATGATTTTATATTAACAAAAAAAAAAAAAAATTAAACAGCTTTCAGATTTTAAATTTTGTCCAAAGGGTCTTTTTTTAACGTTTTGTGTGTTACCTTTATTTATTAAATACCATGTTCTGTGCACTTAAACCATAAAATTCAGTTCAACGGCAATGTCACCAAATAATTTTTAAATGAGCATATCTTTAGAATTTTTGATACACAGTTCCATGCGTTGGAGATAAAAAGGTGCCCCCCCCGGTAGTAGAGTGTGTTGCTATTACTTGCTTTTAAATCGTTGAGTTTGTTAATCAAAAATTCATTAAAGTTTTACAAAATATGAAATAATAAAACAAATTTTAAATTTGGTCTTTTATATGCCCATATCCGCAATAGGTTTACGTCATTCAAAACTGGATGGCTCTAGGTACCGTTGTTTTATCACAATGTGAGAAACATACATACATTTATGCAGATTCTTCGTTATTTAATTTCTTCAAATATAATACAGGGCGGTGGTATTTGGTGGCAATGATTTGAAAAGTGGCACAGCCTTTTAAAGTTTTCAACGCAAAATCGCAAAATGAAAACTATAGTCCTTCAGGGACAAAGCCCCTTTGGACTAAAAAAAGTAAAAACAAATAATAGCAGTACTGAAAAAAAATTTAAAATTAACTAAAGTTCTTTGGCTTCACAATTTTTCTTCCATATCTACTAAACTGAATGTTTTTATTCGAATCTTCAGGTTCGCAATCTTTAGTATCATTTACTAAGTCGTCTTTTTTTCTAGTATTTCCTGAAGATGTGAATGATTCAGTAGTTTTAAGCTCGAAGATAGATTCTTTATTGTCTATCTCCATTGGAAATAATCTCTGTACTGGTCCAAACAATTCATCACTGGATGTTTTTATCTTTGCCACTCTGTTGTCTTTTGCTGGGTATGTTTTGATTACACGACTCATGGGCCGGTCTGTTCTTTTCCTTTTATCGTCCTCTGTAAACACTAAATCACCTTTCTTGATAATTCGCAAAAGCACGGTCTTTGGTCGAGGTACTAACAATCCATGATATTCATCTCTAAATCTTTTACGAAATTCCACGCTTAACTTTTGGTGGTATCGCCATCTTTTCAATAAGTTGATTTTTTATCCAGACTGTGTACATCCGGAACATCTTTGGTTTGGACATCTTAAGTAAACATAGATGGAATGAGTGCACATAAAAAAGTAGAATCTTCTAACTCGTAAGTTAATGGTCTGGAGTTCATATTTGCATCTGCATCACATATGATAGTTAACATTTTTTCATATGAAAGTAATGCTTTTCCCAAGACCTTTCTCAATAATTTCTTGATCATCTGAACCAGTCTCTCCCACCATGCTGCTGTTGGTGGATTTAACTTCCATTGAATTTTCATTGTCGAAGATCTGATAATTTGGTTCCAGTCAACAGATCGGAGTAAATTCCTTGCCCCTACAAAATTTGTGCCATTAACGCTGTATATTACTCTAGGTCGTCTTCTTCGTGCTATGAATCTTCAAAACCCGAGGAAAAATCGATTTGTCGATAAGCTTTCGATTCATTTTAAATGAACGTCGCGATAAATTGCACAGGTGAAAAGTAAGATCCAAGCCTTTCTATTTTCCTTTAGATAAAGTGGTCCTGCTACATAAACACCCGTCACTTCAAATGCATAAATATCTCTGCCTCTGTCTTA